AACAACTAAAATATTATTGTATTGCAAACGTTCCCTCAGGTGTACGATTCCTGAGCTTCCAACAATTTTTAAAACATGTGTTCGGGGGCCATGTATTAAATCAGGTGATACTCGTCAGCTGCCAATCTACAAGATCAATTATTTGACGCTACATTATTTACGGTTCATTTGATAGCTGTGGTAATTTCATGGAAAATTACTTTGTTTCTTTTGCGCGTCAAATACCATGCTTATTTATATCGACACAAGAGCTTGATTATTAAATATTAGTACTATCTTTTAGAAACTATGACACTGTTTCATCGTGTACAAAAAAACGGAAGTACCCAAATTCTCTGTAGGAATGTGCTAGAAGTATCCCATTTTTGTGTACGAATGCCCCATCCCCCGCCTGTTTTCGCTCCTTTCCGCCCAGATCCTCCCTTCGCTGACTCCACTTCAAAAACCACGCCCCCTTTTAAATTCTCGGCTATCCGGGAGACGCCGGGACGTTGGCAGGGAGGCCGACGTTTCGCCTGACATGTCGCAGGCTTCTTTAGGGCAGTGAGTTCACTACCCTCAGGCGAAACGTATCCCGGATAGCCGAGAATTTATGGATTCGAGCCGCGGAACCTTACGTGTACACGCCCCCTTTTCTCCACGCCCTTCTCTGCATCGGTCCTTCCTTCCTCGCTCCAGCCACCTGTTGCGCCCGTCCCGCACCGCCCCCTGCCCCTGCCGCTGTCGATGGCGGACGTGGTCGGCTGCAGCCACGCGCGCGGCCGGAGGCGGTTTCTCCGCCGGACGTCCGGTTCCGGCGCAGCCTCCAATCGTCTTTGTTTACATCTTCGAATAGACATGGCTCGGTATTAATTCCATATTGCAGATCTTGAAGGAATCACAATTTCATGAGTGCACATCCATATTGCAAACCCTCATTCACATACAATGCAATAGTACATTGTAAAGTAATCTTTCATGTTTAATTCAAATATAGGGACATTGCTCTAAATTTATTGTTGTTCCCAAAACCATTTAAATATCAAAAATAAATGTTTTTCGCAAAAACGGTGAATGATAATTAAAAATTAGAGTTATAGTTTTTAATTGCCATATTATTTTGTCATTTAAGTAAGTTCCGGGAAATGTATACTCACAATATTTTATACGCTCCTTAGTTTGTCACTATTTTTATTAAATTTGATAATTTATTTACTTGAGGTCACTATTCATCTACGTGGCTATTAGTTACCTAAGAAACAATTAACACAAATTCAATTTTCATATATTTAGTATCGCAAATATTCTATACATCATAACTTGGAATTGTTACCAATGTAGTGAATTGTATACGTCAGAAATGTTTGGTATCCGACTCCACAAACGAGTCTAATATGTAGGGGTACAGCGGCAAACATCTACCTGGTACCCAATCTTCAAAGGACAGCCTTGTCTTTTTTCAAATTGTACCCAATGATGTCATAGGATGCAGAAAATAATATATTGTTTCAGACAAAGTAGGAAATCTCAGATGCGGATCATTTTACAGATGCGTATTTGTGTTCCTCGTTTTTCTTAATTTAACATTTAATCTGACTTCTTGGATAAATTTTCTATTTATTGGTGTCTTAATGTTATATTTAATAATCTCATAATATACATTCTGTAAATTATTAGCGAATAAAAATGCAACAGTGTAGAAATATAATTTTAGGTTCTATACAGGTGTTTCGATACTGTAAACAGAAGTTACTAAAATCTCGGGAAACGTCTCAAAAAGCAATGAAGGTTTTAAATCGTAATAAAGTACATGCATGATTCAAGAATTTTTAGAACATCATTAACTTAAATATTACAATGTGGATAGGACAACATTCGAAAGGGGATGCAATCTGTCAACAAAGGGCCCTTGGATATATTTTTGCGGCCCTGCGGTGTCCCACAAGACGTTTGACGAAATCCCGAAGTTGCAGTTAATTCGTATAATTTCGCTTTTGCGGGATGTACTTGAAATAACTACATGACTACACATTGTCAAATACCTACCTAATAAGAAGAGATAAAGATAATTTAGCAGATAATTAAGCTTAGTGTGGCAGCGTGAATTATGAGGAAGAGTCAACGTACCAGGTGCATTCCCTAGCGATGTCATCTAAGAGTCGTGGACTGATGGAGAATGAGGCTAACAATGATGAGGATGAGGATGAGAACGAGCAGATTATCTCGCATCCGCTCGAACTACACTCGAGACGCACTTGTCCTCGCAGCATCGCCTTCCTATCCAAACACTTTCCAATCCCATTCTCATCCCTGTTCAATCTCATCCCCATTTCTTTCTTCACTCATTTCTCTCAATTACAATCCATTCCGTACCAATCTCGTTCTTTTCCTCTTCCCTTATCTCCCCTTCCGCAAAATTTCCCTTCCGTATTTATCCCCTTCCAAAATATTCCCATCCCGAATTCTTTCCTTCCCATTTCTTCCTTGCCCCATACCTTTTCTGCCTTCCATCAACGGACCCAACCACCATTCCATCTCATCATATGTCCATCCCATCACCGTACCTCTCTCCTCGACCCATTCCATCTCCACGCCATTCAACATCGTCCCATTCCTTCCCTATCTCATCCCCGACTCATCCCTCAATGTCGCAACCCCGCCCGTTCTCGCCCCACCCTGTCCTCGTTTCCAGCGACAGGGCACCGCTCCGCCGCGCCGGGTGCGCCGAGATGCAGGGTTCGAGCCCGACCTGCCCGTTAGTGGCAGATGCGGTGATAGCGCGTCTTAACGAGAGGGGGTGCGAGCCCCGTTGATCCTGCGGGGCGCGGCGCAGCGATTTGCCCCTTCGGGGCTCTCAGCCGCTCCTCCCACCCCTCCCACCCCCTTCCCACTCCCTCCCACTCCTCCCACTCCCTCCCACTCTCTCCCACTCCCCCGACCAACGTCTCAATTTATTTTGCGCGCTTCCACGAGGCAATGACGGAGGTCGCAGTATGACGGCCAAAACGCTGGCAACTATGCCTAGGACGTGAGGTCTCCCGGACTGCCAAGTTCCTATTGACTCTGGGCGCAGAAGTCAACTTTTTCATTTGAACCCTTTTTGCGTACACAGTGCGGACCGCATGTTTCGGGAATTAGATTTTGGAATACAATTAATTCCATTGATGGAACGACTTTTAAACAACGCGTTTTAACCCTTACGAACAGATATGTTGAGAGGCATCAGTTAAGCCATTGTTGTTAATTGCGGAGGAATTTGCAAACAGATAATACATATCTGTTAGACTCTGCTGGTGGTCAAGAATGAGGAACAGAAGCAGTAATTAAATGTCCCTACAAAAGAGTTTGTTTTTTTCAGTGACAGAGACATTTTAACTGTTTTAGAACCATTTCATCTCTCTGTTTATTTCCTGCATAACGACAACGAAAGAACCCGTCTCATTCCGTAATAATTGAGCATCAGTTCCTCTTTGAAAAGCAAGACTCAATGTTATTAGTATTATCGTTAGTCTTCCGCGTTATTTAACAGATTTATCACCACCGTTCTATTTCCCCTATTAAAATTCAAAATCTACCTAAACGGATTAAGATTCAAATCGGTTCATTATATCTAGAAGGAGGTGACCGACAAACTCAAGACAATGACAAATGACGGTTTTATGAGACTCTGTAGATAGAATAAAAAACTCGGGATAAGCAATCTATCGCATCACATGGATCATATTTTGACAAAATTGTCAAAACTCACTCGATTTTATTTGTGAATTTCCCATTTCCTTACTCCGGGACGTTATGGAGCGCATTGTATAAGTTGTCATAGAGGGCGCCACATATGCGGCATTCGATGCGTTCCTAGTGACACCTGCAACCGAGTAATGGGCTTAAGTTGCTTGCTCTTTGTCGAGAGCTCGACTTCGGGTGTTTGCCGTACCGGGCAAGCGGTCGGTCGGTTGGCGACTCAGTCTTTTTTAACGCTCCAAACACAGTGAATGTCGCCAAGCACCTAGGCTAATGGGGATTCGGTGAGCTGTCGCTCGCTATTCGCCAAATGTAACATGTCTGGCTTCACCTTCACATTAGAATCATTCTCGTCATCATGGTTTATAAATTCTTCTGTAGAAGCGCATGAATGCCGATACTCATAGATTTACTCTATATTAATTTTATTTTTTCATTTGACATTTTCCAATATTATTTTCGAATTATAAACTAAACTAAGTTAAAAGATTAAGGAATCACATTTCAATTATGAAATCTGTTTATTCCCATCTTATCAAATTTATCATTTAAAAAATTTAGTTTATTTCGCGTACATATTTCCCTAGATGTAACGTTAAAATTTAAGAAGTAATCCATAATATACGCTAAGAAATTCATGGAAATTTATGACAATTCGTTACAAAATTAATTTTTAAAATTAATATCCAAAGAATCCAACGATTCAACAAGTAATAGAAAAATGGCATGACTTCCTTTCAAGAGTTATAGAAAATATTTATTTAGTTTGTTACTCCAATAATTTAAACAGATATATAGTAAATGCAGATATTTAAACCTTTAGTTAGAGTGATATTTCGCTTCAACATACTACATGTATGCTTCAGTTTATGAAAATTCAATACAGGTTAGTTCTAAGAAGTAATTGCCGTTACTAGCAGTTGTGAATGAATCACCATCATTACCTAAACCTCAACCTCCATCCATAAAACCGACCTACAACAATCGTGAAAACTGGTCTCCACGCAGTTATTGCGGAATAAAAACCGCTGTTCAGTAAGTAGGTTTAATATCCCAAAAAAGTATAATCCCAGTTAACAAGCAACAATCTTCTAGAAGATGGTACATCGTAAAGAATATAAAACCACAATTAAAATAAGAAATATATGATGAACGTTTACGTGATAATTAAGGGACAGCATAGTGAACCTTTTTTGCAATGAATAAAAAAATAATTTAAGTGTTAATGACAAATGAATAAAATAATATATTACCTGTGGATAGCTTCAAGTCTCTACACTTACCAAGAGGGAATTTTCATTATTTCTGTCGAACACAACTTATTGCACTGTAAAACAGTTAATTGCAAATACATGACAAAACTATTTTCAAATGTATATTCCAAACATGTGTTTGAAATATGCAATCGTATCGTAGGTAATTCTCAGAGAAAATTAGTAAACATTGAACATTTGAACTCTGTGACACCGCGACGCACATTCTTTTAATGATAATCTTTACAGAAAAAAGCAAGTAAGTACGCAAAGAAAAAAGCCTCTTGCTAATTATTGCAGCAAATCACTACAGCAGACAAATGAGCTGGTCTGCGTATAACGAGCGCGAGTACCATAACAGTCGAAATGTAACCGTAACCGGCCAGAAATTCCACCGCCTTAAATTTCCGGCAAGACGCCGTAACAGCCCTGGCAAAAACTAGGCTACCGTCGCGGAAAGAAGGCACCGGACTTTCTTTTTCTGGTCCTCGCCACTCATCTTCTACCGTAAGAACAGCTCGAAGTCTCTAACAAACTAACGAGGGGAAATCATACGATGTTGTAGTGTCGTCAATATAATTACGTGTCTGTAGTGATGACCTCGAATGCATTTTTTCTCCTTACTTTTGCTTAGATTCTAAGCTTGACTCTTTCATTTGAGAGAGGAATCACCTCTAAATAAAATTGATGCAAAATATTTTTTAAACTATTTAGGGTAAATTATTAGCAAAAAGAGAGTTCACAGTGAAATATATTTCTGTTATTTTTAATATTCATTGTTTAAGAGGCCTTCCACTCATTTTTAATCTGTCATATTACGAGTAAAAATGTTGTTGTAATAATCGTATATATTTGAAATGAATGCCTAAATGTAATTTATTGTGTTAAAATTCATTGTCAATTAAAGCTATTGTTTAAACATTATGATTGTTAGAAATAAAGAAACAGGCCCCAGGATAGTAAAAACAAAAGCTATAATGACCTTTCCAAAAACTTTTAATTTAAATCATAAAGGTGTTATTCATTGTTTATAATTAAAAAACGACTTAAAACTCATAAGTAATGCGTCCTTTTAAACGAAAATATAATGTGTAATCAATCTAGAAGACGATCTAAATTGCTTGCAGTCAAATGTTTTACGTAAACTCTACTCAAGTAAGTAGTGAGAAGTCATAACTTTAACTATTTCGGTCATCTAAAATTGGGATGAGAACCAAGTTATTTCGTAAAACAAGTGTAATACACATTGTCAATGTATTCAATGTTTGGGCCACCAACCGATAGAAGAACTGAATGCTAGCATTAATCGTAAGAAATAATGTACTTAATCCATCAATAGATAGCGCTGAGTTGAATACGTTCTTTCTGCTCAATATGAAAACAATATGCACTACCTCATCGCTGGTTTTCTTTGTTCCAAATTCCCTACAAAACAGTGACAGTGTGTATTATGAATTCGCATTTTAGGATCTGGTTAATCCGACTTTTACCAGCAGTGTTCCCAGACCTATACCATTTATTTTTTATTTTTTATTTATTTATTCTTTTTTATTGATTTAATTAATTTATTTATTTTATTTTATTATGATCATGCCAAGCATGATGTATTCCCTTAACCGTATCTGCCATACTTGGACGGTCTGAGCTTTCATTTCGTTACACAGCTATAGAAACTGAGGCGATTGTAATAGAAAGCTACAGATCTATTTTCGTCCCAATCGGGAATCAAACCTGGGGCCGAACTACGGAAATATAGCACGCTGTCCATGAGCCGCCCCCGAGGGGATGACAATTTGTATGTTTTCAAATAATTACGAGCAGAATTGCGTAATGGAGGGCAGTGCGCTCCAGGCGTTGCGACTAACGCCCGCGGCCGCTTCTCGCGTCTCAGGGCCACGCACCGGCGCTAACGAAGGTAATTGGAGCCCGGACCGCGCGAAGAGGGCCGGCCGCGCCATGGGAAGCAGGCACTCGCCATCTCGACAGACTGCCGCTAATGTGCACCTAGAATAATTACTAGCATCGTGGCGCTGCCTCATTAGACCATTCTCCTAGGATTCTTCATGCATGAGACGTCGCGCGAACGAAACTGACGGGAAATCTTATTTCCATACTGTGTATATCATTATTTATCATTATTGCATACTGTTTCTATACATAAAATGATTGACATATATCAGAGAGAAACAATAATTGTATTTATTGCTAGGCATGTGATTAGAATAAGTACATGGTATAATTATTAAGGCAACAATGTATTTCAATGAATTTGAGGCTATTCCTAGTTCATGTGTTAAGAAAGACTGAGACGCTGTTACAAATCAAACAGTAACAATAACAATACAGAATTTTAAACAAGTGAATAAATTCAGACTTGGAAGGATGTGTACTTCTTTTTCGTTCAATGCAAAAGACCCAAGTAAACCGAAATAAACCTCTCACTAACAGTACCAAATCCTACGAGGGACATGGTTGTGTGCCACTTATTTTGTGTGTGTTGTTCACGGAAATATTAACTCACGAAACCCACAAAGATGCTGCACGTGAGAATGTTAGGTAACTATTCATTCCTTAATAATACATTGTTTAAAATCTCAACCACTACCAAAAAACAATATATTGTAAGAAAATTAAATTAGAATACATTGTGCATCACATTACAGTCACGAAACAGCGCAGAGAAATAAATGTTCTGATCGACTTCATGCACAAAAATAAAATAAACAATAGTTATATTATCGTACATATCCTAATATCCATATGACAATATTTAAACAAAGTTGTTCAGTGAACAATCCAGTCCAATGCTTATAATTTCTTCTCATCGAAACTCGTTTTGATACATAATGTCATTACATAATAAAATATGTATGTTTCATGTTATGACTTACATTCACTTCGATCACGATCATCTCGATCGTGTACATCTCCACCCATCTAATGTAGCGCGCAGTCTTGAATTGGATTCCTCCTTCAGCTGTGCTGCTGCGTGCCCTGCATGACACAAGAAACAATCTAATAATACACCTATAACTTAACAAGGAATAAAAACGCAAAATACATTCACCAGAAAAATAAAGATAGATTTTTCAGCACAAAGATTTTCGAGGATGTGTTTCGGTTTACCAAAAAGCTCAAATAACCTTACTTTTTTCCTTTGTTTCACTATAATGTTATTTCTGTAGACCATGTTTCTTCGAACAGAAACGAGCTATGTTCCGTCACGAGACTGCAGGTCTTGTGACGGCGCGTCATGTGACTGCACTAATAAAATCTGAGAAATGAAATACCCTCACTCTCCACACCGGAGACCTGTCTTATAATCTTCTCCATCCCCCTCACTCCCTCTCCCTTCCTTTCTCTCTCTCTCCCTCCCTCTTTTCCCCCATCTCTCTCTTGTATTTCACCACGACTCTCAAGATCTTACACCCTCTTTGATCATGTGCGAGTATCCTTCGTTACAACGTATTATACTGATCCCATGTTCTTGCCGACGTGAAGTATTCAATGCTATGCCGTTACTTGGTTAATTATTCTCTGTTTACCGTATCCTCCAAATATTCTATCACGTGTTAACATGTTTTTCTGTAACGCATCTTCTGGCGGTAGACACTGAGAAACTGGAATCTTAATTCATCGATTTCGCAGTGCTCGTTGCTCTGAAAAGGTCTTCGTTTGATTGCCAGCACAAATCTAAAGAAGAATACCTGAAAAGGCATTTTCAAGCACTTTGCGTTGAGTTTTCGTAACCAGTTTCAATAATAATACATTCTTAATTGGTTTTTACACTATCCTACTTTCCTCAAATAAGTTTGCCCTTCTTCCTCTCGCAATGACACTTCATAAGGGTCCAACAATATTTTTTTGACTTTAGGGCAAAACTTGCGCAATGGAATGCCTTCTCTCTCCGCACCCCCTGTTTTCATACCCATTGTAACGTTTTAATCACAACTACATTATTGACTTCCCCAGCGATCGTTTCTTCTTATAAGAAATGAACGTCTTTCTTAACAACAAAAATAACAATTTAATCTTAATACTTCCGTCTTACATATCCACATTATACATCAAGTCCTATCAACTTCTCCTAACACTAAGAAGTTATCATTGCTAATATCTTACGCAAATTAGGCTACTTTTACTTAAAACCCTCAATAGGTGGAATCGAGGAGCCCGTGATGTCGTCTTCACGGCCCCGAGAAGCATTCTGTTTGTTTATTAAGGGTCTTCTACATGATATATCGTTGGTATGTAGAGAAAAATTACAACAATTATCCCCTACCTTAACCGTGTCATATTCTATCTCGTCGCTTTATTGAGGTTGATACTCAGAGGTTTGCGGTTATGTATATGCTTTAAATCAGCGAGTAGTATGCATCTTCAACTTTTCTTTTATTAAATCAATTTAAATTTCTTAAAAATACGTTGACATGCGTGCCAATGACCTCACTGGTTAAAGCACCCTCTAAACGCCAAATAATCAGTTCAACATCCCTTTATATGGCCTAGAAGTTGGTAACATTTATTCTGAGACACCTTACAGAGCCTATGCATCTCCATTGGGTTGGATCCGGGCCCAATCTTATTCACTCTCGCCTCTCCACCCAGTTTTTTCCACATTTGTACCATGCATCATCCGGTTGATTTACAAAACGTGCGCATTGCAGTACCTAGTATCTCTCGCTCCGCCCCGCGAGGACCCGTGGCTCGGGAAGGTCCCGGGCGGGTTGTGTAACGCTGTAACGCGGCTCGCAGGGCTCAGCAGCGGCGGCGGCGGCGGCCCCGGGCACCGCGCGGCATTCTATTCAAATGGCGGCGGATAAGGCATTGTTCGCCGCCGCGGCGCCGGGGGGAGGAGGGAGGGGGGTGAGCGCCGCGGCGCCGCCGCCGACGGAATGACGCTAATAGCAATAATAGTGGCCGCGATCTTCGGCAGCGGTGGCGGTGGCGACGCCGGCTGTTACAGCCTCGCTTGCGCCATCGCTCATCCCCGCTCCGCTTGCGTCACGTCGACGATCGACGGCTTTTCAGGAGACCCGAGAGGTTTGATCTGCGAATATCTGGAGTGTCGAGACCGTTAGGAATGGGATTTTGGGTGTAAGTTGTTTCTTGCAGCCGTTTCGTGTTGGTAGGTTCGTCAGATATAGTGTGATAGTGCAATATGTATGTGTGTGTGTGTGTGTGTGGTTCCGCTATGATTAGTTTCTCTAATTATTAATTTGGGCTGAATACCAAAATTCGAAAAGTTGGAACATGGTAGGATTTAGGTATTGTAATGGCCTAAAGGCCTTCGGACTAGCTACATTGTATTAAGTTATTTTAATTTATACATTTAATATTTATCTATTAAATTAAAATAATAATTTATCTTCTTATCCGTCAGTGTGCAACGAGTCACAAATCTCAGAAGTTTCCTCTCTGCTAATTTTATTCTCGTGAACTCCATTACCAACAATTAAAATAATAATTTCAACGGATCGTCCTCTTGGAAAGGTCCAAGAAAATGGAAGCATATATACTTTTTGTCTTGAAGGTACAACTAGGGTGTAATTTAATGTTGTCCTAGGCATTCTGAGATCTGACGTCTTTCTAAGATACCACGCTACCACGCTACTGCAGTAGATTAGATACGACTCTACGTTCTGCCTTTAATTCTCGATTATTCTCCGTAATCATAAGTGCGTCACCAGTCGCACCTCTCAAAAAGGTCCCTCTTCCTCTATTCTTCTCAAGATCAGACACGAAGTTTTAGACTAATTTTCGGTCAATTTTACAAACTGTATCTGTTGTACGATTGTGACACAATAAAATAACGGATTCATATTCAAGCATATTCAATAAAACTTGATCATCACGGAATCTCAAACAACCGGTATTGTTTTCTGAATTGTGCAAAGTTCCGCATTTTACACAGTAATGTAGAATATGTTTACAATGATTGATCATTTGCGCATTTATGTTCTCATTGGACTGATGTTCGTACGATTCCCATTCCGCATTCAGGAAGTTACACTGTACTTCATGTTTCCCACTTGCCTGAGAGAAACAGAAGGGATCAGTAATGCCTACAGGAATATAAATATATGAAAATGTATAACAGAGAACAACACTAATCGGCAATTAACACTTACAACTCATTTAGTGATGCATAAAAACAAGAATATATTATTCAAAGACATTCAAATACTTTTTTCTTTTGTTAACTTAGTCAAATATGGCATCAATGCGATGAAAATATATTGGGATTTTCAAGAAACTTCACAACAGATGTATTATTCCCATTTGTAGCAATTACTTAAAAGGGATGAGTTCCACCTTGAAAGTCAACTGCGTACTCTTGGAGACGTACTCAAAACTATTGTCCTCAGAACGAACATACCCTCGCTTTACACTCTGCTACCTTGAGGACAATGCAGCTCTGTCTTCATATGCGGAAAGTGAAGGTCATTATTAACGGTCCGATGATCACAAGGTTGCGACGTACAACGGTGGTATGTTACCGTGTGTTCAATGCGTACTTTATATAATATCGATGTAAACTAAAACTCTTTTAAATGTTATGCATCCTGTCAAAAGAAGACTCCATTCTTAAAATAGAGATTATTAAAATTTTACCTTATAAACATTTTTTCTTTAAATAATATCCACTATATACTTCGTATTAAAACGCTGAATGTTGCAAACGAATTTGTAATTTTAATTGTGAAATTAATTATGAATTAATACTATATTGTTTACTACTCGCTGTTTAAATCTCAGGCTTCCGTGAATGTACATTGTTTATACCGTTTATATTTATTTGTTTAAATTTATTTATATACGCCAACGCGCACACAAGTGTGGTTTGTTTCGAACATTCCTCTCAATGACTCATGAGGAACACGGCAAACGCATTAACGAAGCTTTGGCCAGGTGCGCGACAGGACCTAGCCAACACTCACCTGGCGGAAAACAGGCTGTCGTCGACTTTCGCATTCGCGCTCGGATTAGAGGCGTGACGCTGCTGAACGAGCCGAGGGGAAACACGTGGTCAGCTGCGTGTGCGATAATTGACCGTCTCTTCTCCTGGTATAATCCGATCTCTTCCCTTCCACCTCTCGGTTTTGCCGCACCGCTATCGCCAGTGATGTGTCCTCAAATTAGGTAATTGATTATTTTGTGCATTCGGACGCGTCAACTACTATAGAGATGAGTCCCGCAGGTGTAGTACATGTTATATCTCGGTAGATTGTGGTGTTTCTCTCTGGCTCTGATACTCACGTCGGTATTTCGGGTTTCCCCTTTCAGGTATCTCCCCCGGGACAAAGCCTCAGCCGGGATATGATCCATATTCCCAACTGTGAGCAAGTCTCCCGACATGTGTAGTGGTTTTGTGCATGTACGTGTCAGTACATGTTGTAAAGGGGAGAGGAGGGGTCGAGGATGAACAGAAAGGTGCGAGGTCCATGACCCGTTTGTTAGGGTACCACTCCGGCATTCTTCTAATATTCATCGCATAAATCACGGGAAACACCTCATCGCATAAATCACAGCAGCCGACCGCTAGAGTTCTTCTCCAGATTGTGGTTGAAATCTATGAGTATAATATAATGGCGGAACTCGAATCTTAGGATATCCGGGTCCGATACAATTGTATTGTCTCCACTGAGCCATATCAGAAGGCCCCTCGTCTTTTCCGCACCGCTGTCAACAAAGAATGTCAGATATCCGTGCTTCAGCCATACGTGACCAAGTGCAAGCTGTTCCCACGTCATTATTCTCGCGAAAAGCGCGAGAAGAATTTGAAGGTCGGGGAAACAGAGAAGATGACTCTTTCTGCGCAGTAAGAATAGCGTTGCATTGCAACAACGCAACGGGAGTGCACCCCCTGAAAGGGCTGTAGGATAGAAAACGGAGAAAATATATAGCGCAATGACCAGTCACTTCAAATTCTGAATGTTGCCGTAGAAAAGTCATGCTTTTAAATAGGCTGGAGACCGACGCTCCTGGAATGATATTTATTAGTCGGGTGGTTGTTGAAAATAGGATGGAAATGGGTATTTTGCAATTGATTTGGGGGTTTCTAACACACAATGTATGCACATTTATAATGAAATGACTAACTACTAATTATGGTTTAAACGTAGTATTTTTCTCATAATATAATTTCCTTTTTCAGGTGAGTGTCGCAAGCTGTTCGGACAAAGTGTTCATCGTGTGGGTGAGTTAGTATACTTTTAAAAGTGTATTATATTCAACACATACCATTTTTACAACACATTGACGTGCTTTGTAATATTTCAATAAACACGAGATCTTTAATTTCAAAATAATGTCTCAATGGCAGCAGTAACTACAACAAAAATTAATGTTTCTAACCCTTTAATTTATTTCATTACTCCAAAATTTGATTCTGTTTTCCATAAATTGGTGTAAAGGCATTCATCAAGATATATAAATGATATGTCATATAAAAGAAAGGTGTAAACTTCAATGTGAAATAGAAAACTGTTTTAAATAGCATCTTCAATCAACCTTTGAAAAATTATACTATTATTTTCAGAGAGCTATCTTTTATGTCGTTAACCATTTACTGAACAGTGAGCTATCCTCAGTTTCAGAATTTTCTTAATGTTATGTAATTTATCTTTAAATTGTCCAATAACAACCAATACCTTCTAATTTCCAATCACGACTTTACCGACACTCATGATGTTTAATTACAAATTCAATTGAGAAATACTCATATCTTAGTCAGGCAGAGGTCTAGAGTGGAGTACTGCGTTGCACATGTCTGTGTTCACCATGTGTTTTTTTCTCATTCTTATTATTTATTATTATGCCAGTGCCTAAGACTTAAAGCGATATGTAATGGATCAATAATTTGAATGGTTAGGTTTTGGCGCACGAAACCAACGATGATGAAGCGATGTTGAAATGAAAGGAAGAAGGAAATAGGGAAACTCGGACAAAACCTGGCGCACTCTTTCACCACAATTTTCGTGTATCGAACGACTGAGTTTACTACAGAGCCATCATTTCCCCTGATACTGCACTAGATCAAATTCAGTTTCTTTTTGGATGAGAATAATATCGACCGGCAGGTCTTATCGATAGTTTTCCCTGGTTTCTCCGATCAATATCAGGCGAATGCAGGAGAAGTACCATGAGAAGCGGGCCACGAACCTCGAGTGGTCTTTCCTTCCTCTTTCTGGTTCTTTTCTCTCCCCTTATTTATATATTACACTACACATATACGTACCTACATGCACTACATAAGTCGATACATCAGTCAGGAGGTTAGAAATTGTTCTTGAATGGGGCGGTGCCCCGCTTGGTGGAGATACCTGGACGGAAAATCTCTCACAAGCCCACTTGTAGGCCAGTGCCAGATTTTTGCTATTCAGCGGGTGAGGAACATTGACACCTCCAGACATAAAAGAATTCTCTATATTAATGGGACCATCATCCATAACATTTCAGCTCTCACCATAATTGACCCCTCATTCACCCCAACCAGCATCCCAGTAGAAAGCTACGACCGCTACAATGATCTCCTTAGAACAGGGAACAGAGTATGAAATTCACCACAATTGCCGAATACGAAGAAAGTCACATTCCAACGAAGTAGTCGTGTCTGGAGCCTCACGTTCACTACTTAACGATACAATTCGGGAGACCAGTCGGTTGCTTGGAGCTTGGATGGTGCTCCTCTGAAGAAGATATCTGAAGAGTACATCCCACGCATGCTGACTAATAGGTTGACGCTATACCAGTGCTCGGAATCATCAATCAATCTCACGGATCGAGCAAGATTTGAACACAAGACCCAGCTGTGGAGGTTCAGCGGGCATATCTCATATCGTCTCCCTCGCCGTCGTCGAGATTGTGGTGTGGGTGACTTCTCACTCCACCACTTACAGGGTCTTAACCAACATCCATAATAATTCAATAAGAATCATTATTCACCTCTAGGAGCATCCCAACTAGTATCCCCCTTTTAGAAAGCAATGGCAAATGACCCGTTATGATCTCACCAGGATAGAGCACAGAGCACGGAATTCCCCACCATGGCCGAATACGAACAAAACCACTTTCCAACAAAGGAGCCGTGCTCGCGGCGGCCGTTGGCCACGCGCGTTCCTTCCCCGAGTCGTGCGCGCCGGCGGACGCACGACGTGTCCGGGCAGCGGCACCGGCGAAGCGGCGAGGAAGTGCGCGCGAGAGAGAGGGAAGAGAGAGCGAGCGAGACGGAGGCAGTTCCGGCGGAAGCGGCCGCAGCCCTTAAACTAATTTACGGCGTTTCTCGACAAAATTACGGACGCCAGACGGAAACCAACCGCTGCTCCGCCCCCGCCGTCGCGGTCGCCTCCGCCTCCGCTGACGTTGCCTCCGCCGCCGCGACGCCGTTGTTGCAGTGGTCGCCGACGACGTTATAGGCTCGCGACGCACTGCCTCCTGAGGTCTTCCGTTTCCTGTGCACACGAGGCGGAGGGGGCGGAGTTTATGTTGGTGGCGGAGACGGCGGCAAAGTCGTTGGCAGGGGTTGGTGAATAACCGCCAAAGTATTGCACAGAGCTAGCGTTGTCTGTCTCTGCAGCGACTTTAACTTGGAGGCCCTAGTTTTCAAGTCCCGAAGGGACTTATTAACACAGTCACGGGAAAATTACAACAGATGTGAGCTGCATGGCTAGGTCGAATTCAGCCAGTGTCTGGAGAAAAATTCCAGCGAACGGCTGCTTTGATCGGTATTCTTCTCTGGTTTCTCCGATTAATATCAGACGAATGCCGGAGCAGTGTGGTAGTAAACAGGCCAAGGATCACGTGCGATCTTTCCTTCCACATCTCTGTCCTATCGTCTCCCCTTTCTTACACACACACTCTTACATGTCTAATCTACCACACTTATCGAGAGACCAATAAGTTGCTTGGAGCCTGTCCCGGGTGAGTCGATGTCCCGCTGTGATACCAGTGCCCCGGAAATACTAGGAGGATATTTCCAGCAAACCCGAAAAAATCAATAAACGAATAATGCTACAAAGAAAAGGGAGAGAATTAGTGACGTGCGGCGTGCGCGTAGGTGGTGACGAGGGGCTTCGGGGTCGGCGTAGCAGAGAGGGTGGCGGAGACAATGGTTTAAGGAGAGTAAGGGAAGAAATGGTGCTGGTGCCGTGGTAGAGACGGGAACATCGCGGAACCGCAAGGGGACGGCAGGGGGCTGTAGCGGCGAGTGCAGCGGTGCGGGGACTGATACGGTGTTGGGGAAGGTGGGGAGAGGAAAGAAAGTGTGGGGTGAAGATGGAGGCGTGGGCGGACGTGGAGGAGTGGGAGGAGTAGGAGGGTGAAGAACGGGGCGGGTCCTACGTGGAGGAGGAGAGAAGGAGGAATCGGGGGGAAGCGGGGACAAAGGCGGATGTGGGCCAGTAAACACAACACGGAAACAATGCTTCAGTCTCCAGCGATTTTTTAAACAATTCCGCATATTGTTTCCTGCTACGTGATGTGTAGTGAGATGGAGCAAGGAGCACATTGTATACCCACGAGTTACAAATTCTCTTTTGAAGTGTTTTTATTGTGGATATGCGGTGCGGGACACAAACAGTAACTTATTTTTATACACGAGCTTATTGTTTTGGATCATTATTTACTTGGTTTTCATGAAAGTGTAAACAGATTAGTCTCAATTCACGCGACTTTATATATTTAATTATATTATAGTAATAATTTCTTTGCGGGTCTGTCTTATATGTGGTGCTCTCTGATCTCAACACTACAAACAAAAATATCTCTCAAACTCTCAGCTTTTCTTATAAAACATATTTGGATGAAACAAGTGCAATATTTTCATGGAACATCAGTTGAAGTACCAACAACAAAAAAGTTGAGGTGGAGACCAATCTTAAAGTTCGAAATAATTTCATTTCGAACAAATTCATGATATACGAGTATTGATGCCTAAATGCCTGAAGTCTCTTTTCTGACGCCTGCTACAAATGGACAAATGTCTCACAAATCAACCAGCCACTAAAATTGAAATTAACATTCGAGAAATAGCATTATTTCTGCACTAACATAAAACGCGATTACGAAATAGTAAATGTCCTAGTGTGTTGAGTCACTCTCACGCCCACTGGCAGACATGGGCATTTTGAGACGCACGGAAGAATTATCACGAGATTTCTCCTTTTGTCCTTTGTCTCAAATGGCGCCATTGTCACCACGCACCGTGACAACGTTGCTTACATCGGTTCGCTCAAGGAGTTTGTAAACAATAGTACCGACTGGAGTAATGACTTCGCCTTGCTCGGCAGACTGTGAATAAAGAGTTGTCACTAATGGACAGGCAAGACAATCTTCGCTTGCATCCTTTACTCGCGTGCTGAACGACATCCGTAGGGTCTGGACAAATACGTCGTATTTCTCGCAAACACTTACGTAAAGATTCAGTTCTACATTAAAGCTTAACTTTCACTACTAATATTTAGAATATATCATCTAGTGCAATAAAACGTCATTACAAGCATACTTACAATACTATGCACTTCCTTATCAACTTTATTACGCTCACAAACAGAATGATTAGATTTCTTGCTACAGCCATTAGTTGATATATTTCACAACTAAAAATATGAATCAATTTTAAAATGAAAATTAAAAAATGGAGTAAAAAAGTATGGTACATAATTCGAAACTCAACATTTAAACCATGCGTCTATTCTAATTTCTGCCTTTGGATTTATTTGTTCCAAAATAATTAAGTTTTTTTAAACTTTATTAATATAAATACCTGTATGAAATATTTAAAAATGTCTTTGGGACTTCATGTAAAGTAGCCCTTAAAATCCAGTTCATATTAACGGAGACGCGAACATCAACCAGATGGATTGGAAATTATCAATTTTGGATATGATTTTGCATTCAGTTTAGCGGCCAACATTCCCCACAGATAGGCATGCGGAAAGACGGAGCAGCTTTTCAGTATCATACACAAAACATGACTTCTAACTGCACAGCGTGTTAGAGAAAGTAACTTACTGCATGCATTTATAAACAAGAATTATCCACATTATCATGGACTCCCAAAGCAAGTTTTTCTACCAAAATTGCCTTGTTTGCTCCAGTATTACAATAATTTCTCTATACTACGTAAATAGTACGGGAGAAAGTATATATTGGTTTAATATCTCTATGTCAGATTCCGGTAATGAGATAAAATTTTGAGACCACCACAGAACCTAACGCGCTGGAAAATCGTTCACACGGTTCGTTTCTAACTCATCTCGGAATAAATAAAAAATTCTGTGGAAGTTATAATCTCATGTATAAAGTGCAGTGTGTTCTGTGAATACTGCAGCGTTTTTGCAGATATGCACATGTGACTGAACTACCAAGAAAATTCTAAAATATCATATAAAAGATTAAGGGTGGAAAATTAAGAGTGATAATAAATGCATCATGTAATTCAGGGTTACTTCGTAATGCAATCTAACAATGGTATCGTAAAAAAACAATGCAAGTAGAGCATTTTATCTTTTTCCAATTACACTGTTAAATTCACTGGATGGTTGATTGGTGTGATATTAATCCCATATTTCATTATACACAAAAGTATTACTGTGCAGTATTGCTGTAACGCCGAAGTTCGACAATGGACCGAAGTGGGCCTTCTCAAAGAAAAGAAAAGTTGTATAAATATTTTTAATGAAACCAAAGAGATGAGCACCTTTCTCTTATTAAATCCATTAAAGTTTTCCTATTACACGTTTGTTAGTGCCATGCACAGGCGATACCACGAATTCTCTTCAGAAGAAATTTAGACACATCGCAGTGTGATGACTTGCAAATGCCATGAAGATGAAGGAGGAAGAGAGATCAAGTACCAGAAGGTGAAAGTTCACAGAACGTCGCCCCAAAATGCGCAAACACAGTCCAACAGCTTTTCTTAAAAAGCAAACATCCGCTTCAACCCACTATTACTCATTCAAAGTCGTATGGTGTAGTTCTTCTTAGGAAAAGGGTTTTTCCGTTGCATCCTTTGAAAAACAATTGATGCTCAATGGTTCAAAAGCACATTCTTAATCGTATTATTTGTAAAGTTTGCCATTTTCGAAAATTCAGAGAGTTCAACAAGAATTAGACCTGAGCCATTCTGTTAAGTGTTCTCGTGTTCTCTGTAAAATATTTGAGGAAAAAATATTGAACCGTTTTTGAAAAATGTTGTTTATCATTTGCATTAACTTCAAGTTTAAATTGAGAAAACACTCCAAATTTTAAAAAACTTGTAGTTGACTTTCTTTTAATATCTAATTTTTATAACAGATTTTAGTTTAGACAAAACAATCTCTAGCTTCATGAGATGAGTATTGCAAACTTTAACTTTTTGCAATTGAGGTTTTAAAGTTTTTTATACGTACGAGGAGATAATTTTAAAAAAAAACTTTCGAGTAGTATTTGAGAAAATAATTGTTTAAAAACTTCCCATAGTTCACACAAAATTACGTAAAAACTATTTATTCAACTTTTCAAAAAATTATACGTCTTTTTTTCAAAATACGTATTTCAACAAAGTATTCCATTGAGAAAAAATCTCTATTTTCAATATTGTATATGTCGGAAGACTCCGAAAACAATTGCATTTAAAAAAAGATATTTAAGTGAAAATAAGCAACATTCTCTTAAGCGTCGTTAACAGTATTCGAGAACAAAGTTCAACCAAAAAATGTGGAGTCATTTTTGAGAAAATGTTGAAAACGTAATTAAGGCGTCATGCAAAGTTCCTCCCAAAATGACAATATCCATTTCAAACTCAAAAGGAGCCTCGAGTTCCTTTACCTCGTTCTTACGAATACATCTTCCTCTTCTTATGAAGTTAGGGCGAGAAAATAAAAACAGAATATTTATTCCTATATTTTCTTTTTTTAAATAAAATATTACATCAAATCAATCGTAAATAAACTCGAGAGGCTGGCATGATGTGAGAGCACGCAGGTCGTGAAGGCGGCAGAAGGGGAGGACGAGTTGGATTGGAGGGCTGGCAAGACGTGATGGCGGCAAGAGTGAGAGCAGGCAAGAAGTGAGTGCTGGCAGGAGGTGGGAGTGGGCAGGGGTTGGAGTCGGGCAGCGCCTGAGGGCGGGCAGGACGTTTGGGGCAAGTCGGCGGTGGGTTGAAGGTGAGGACGGGTAGTAGTTGAGGGCGGGAACTACGAAAGGGCGGGCAGGCTGCATGTGCGGTCAGAAAACGTGAGAGCATGAGACGAAGGTGGTAAGGACGTACAAATTGGGCAGGAGGAGGGAGGGCTAGTCAGGATGTGAAGAGGGACCTTATGTTGGGCGGGCAAGAGACGAGAACAGTGCGACCGGGCCCAGGAGGCAAGAGCGGGCATGGGGAGGG